TCCTCGTTCCACAGAAACCCACTCCTCGTTCCACAGAAACCCACTCCCACCCTGAATCCTGCGGTCCGGACCGAACCGGGCGTTTTGTCCCCCGGACGTTTTCAGAACCACGACGTTGGGACAGAAGCCCAAACAGGAAGTTCTGCTCCGTGAAGCAAACGACTCGTTTCCACCACCGGAGACTTCTGAACCAGCCGGCTCCTTAACGACCTCCATCAGAACCAGTTCTGCACCGGCTCCAAAACAAGCAGCAGGATTAAGTTCGGCTCCTAATCTGTGGTAATCTGAGCGCAGACTTACTTTTGATCAGCATGGTTTGGAGCAGCTTCAACAGGTTTCCATGTCAGACGAATTAAATCCACAAATCCACCGTCCCATCGAAGCCGTGAGGTCCAGTTAGTTTGGTAAGAAGACCATCGTTGAAGATTCCCACCCTCCTCTTCCTCTAGTCCAGACTGGACCATCTGAGCAGCAGGAAGAGGGGGAGGAAGTCCTAAAATAACCCGGTGGAGGACCAGCAGCCACGTGAGGAGACGAGGACCAAGTGGAGGAGACTGGAAGACAGAACCAAGGCTGCAGTCGGAGCCCACACGGCCTCGGGCCGAGGAGAAGTTCTTGGTTTCTCTGCTTCCTCTTTAAACTAAGTTCCATGTGAGAAGTTCGGCAGCGAGATGAACAAGATGAACCTTGGAGAGCAGCCGACAGACGAGCGGACTCCATGAGACCGCCATACAGAACCAGAGCGCAGTTCGTCCGAGGTGTCCCATCCACTCCAGGGTTCTCACTACGAGCTTTACAACGTGAAGAGCAGCCGCTTTGAATAAAGCAGAAGATATTTCCTGCATTTAACAGGTTTTAAACATTATGTGCTTGTAAAATATATTTTTATTTTTGCTGACCCCCGGGGATCCAGGGACCCCAGTTTGAGAACCAGTTTGAGAACCAGTGCTGTAGAAGGTTTGCTTTTAAATTTTACAGCTTTGATCATTTACAGAAAGTTTGGACGGAGCTGAACCCACGAGCAGAAACATTTTAACACGAGTCTCTAAAAAACTACGAGTCCACACGAAACTAATCGATTTCATTATTGAACAGAAGATCGATCGTTTGGATTCTACACGTCCACCTTAAGAATGGACACACCATCCATCCATCCATCCATCCATCCATCCATCCATCCATCTATCCCTCTGTCCATCCATCCATCCATCCATCCATCCATCCCTCTGTCCATCCATCCATCCATCCATCCCTC